AACTTCATCTTCTCTACCCCCACATGATTTAGTTTATACACGTCATTACCATCGTCAATGACTTCACCAACTCTCAATTTCCACTCACTCACTTATTGTACCTCAAACAATTAATCTGCTCACTTTTAGTCTTAATTTAAATGACAATTTTTTCTACCCCACCTCTACTTAGTCTCCACCCGTAATTACCGCTGTTGATATCCTGACCTAGGTTGAAATATTTTCGTAAATTAAATTACATCATCTAACTAACCAACTCAATCTTAATTTAGTTGATGTTTAATTACCCTTGTTTCTATATTCGATCATTCTTGTATTACCTGATCAATTATCAAAACCTGACAAACCTCATGTACATACAAACAAAAACAAATACTTATACATGTATATGTGATTGCAGAGCTATGTGAATGAATTCGCCGAAAGGAGTCGCTTCGATCAACGTCATTTCTATTTCATCGGATTTTCAATAGTCAATGTTTAAAAAAAGTTGAAGCACACAATTCCTTAATATTTATGCCCACGGCCAATGACTACGTCCACGCCTACGCCTATGAATCTGCCTCTGCCTCCATCTATGCCTACGTACTCCAAACACACTTGAAGAAAAATTACATCACCAGACGAACATGTCAGTAGATCATGTCTAAGAGAAGAACCACATCGAATTATTATGAAACTAAACAATATACGAAATAGATCCTCACCCAACATCACACCACAAAATCCCACACAACAACGTTTTCATTACACTCATCAAACACAAATCACACAAAATCACAGTGTGTGACATGAAATCCACCTACTGAGAACACATGAGAAAACACACACCCACGCACACACTCACACTCACAATAAACACGGAGAATAACAACAGTCAGCCGACTACTCACATCACAATCACTTGACATTCACAGATCAACAATAACACCGATAGTGCTAGTAGTAATGATATTAACAATTATTATTATTATTATTTCAAGAATAATGCGAGTAATACTCACAGTAGTGATAATGAGAACATGAAAGAGAGGAAGAAGCAGAATTACGTGTATGAAAACCGCTCTCACTGTACAGTGAATGCCAAAGTCAATGCAGTATTGTTCATGTACGCACATTCCCCAGTGTGGGATTGTTGATTCATACGATAATGAGAACAAGAAGAGGTAGGAAGTGAACAGAAGAATATATTCACCTCACAAAAGTACTCCTCGTCGGCGTCGTAGTCACCACTTCATTACACTTCTCAGATTCTTCAAGTGGAATCCAATTCAGCTCCGTTCCAACCCTACACTTCTCAGTGGGTCTCAGTGGGTTCCCAGTTTTGTGGATATTCGGAAGGCCATATAGCCGGGGAGTATGTGAACCAATTGCTTTAAGTTGTTTATAAAGTTTTTCATTTATGAAACCATGCATCAGTAAAATCTGATGCTGACAATTGATCTGCTTTCCACAAGCAGCACATTATCAGTAGCATTGTCCACCAGAAATTTAGACTGATCTTTGCGGATTTCATTCATTTTATTTTGATAATCCCGATGTATTCATGATAGCAACCCCTTTTTTGCTGTATAAACGTTATGTAGATGATACTCTCATTATCGGTAGTAATAGTAAATCTATTGAAAACTTTATTACCCTATTTAATCATATTCATCTAAATATCCGAGTGACTTCCGAACTCGAATTGAATAACAAACTCGATATTACAATGACCAGGAAAGATGATGGAACGATTCAACGATCTATTTTTCGTAAACAGACATGGAGTGGACAATATCTTCATTTTACCAGTTTTGTTCCTATCCAGTATAAACATTCCCTAGTGAGTGAAATGTTTGTTCTCAAGGGCCAGAAAAATATGCTCGAGTGACACAGTAATGGATGAGTTTTATTACCTAATGGTTATCCGGAAAACTTTATCACTTGTCACAGTAAAGAAAGACCACACCTGCGAAAAGACAGCTTCTGTAACAAAGAAAGCTATCTATCTTTATTAACCCACCATTCAAGGGTGACCCGATTATGCAGTTGACAGCTCAAAGACTTCGGTCAGCCATCAAGCGCACATTCTACGCCGCATCTCTTTTTTTCACCTGCCGAACATTTTCGATCCCTGTACCTACCTACGATTAAACGACGAAATTCTGTGGCCTCTACTTCAAACTGTATCTACAAGTTCATCTGCAGCTGCGGTGACAACTATATAGGTAGAACCAATAGAATGTTCCAATGTGGTCGCCGAAAAGAACATGTTCCAAAATGGCTACTAAATCACACAGAAACTCACAATGCGAGTAATCTGAATAGAAATCCAGCATCATCCATTGCGAAACACTTATTAATTAATGTCAGGTCACAAAATCAATATTAATGACTGTTTCACAATTATTTCACATAACTCTAATTCAAGTTTGGTTATTGAAGGTGATGGAAGCCCTTTGGATTAATCACATACAACCTAAACTGTGTGTACAAAAACATTAGACTTCAACCTTTCTTCGCCTACCATGAACTACTTGACCTATCTTATTATGATTGGTCATCAGTGGATAACGCTTTGGCGTTTGAAACTATGGGCACTGGGTTCGAGCCTCGATGCGTGGAACATCATCACTCACTAAGAAATGCAGCTGACGAGTCCCAAATAGGACGAAATGCGCATCCTGACTGGATTCCACTGCTAGTCACCAATCCACAAATTAAATTCTAAGTATGTACTTTTGTTTTTTATTTAACTGAGTAATTGTCATGATCTTCATTTTATTTGATTATTGTTAACCATGTTAGTTGTGTAAAGCGGTTGTAAAGAAACTACAAAATGACGATATCATCTCTCTCGAAATTCGTCTTCTAAATGCCTTATTCAAATTTATCAAAGTAACTAATTTTAAAAAAAATATAAATATGTTCTACTATTGGTTTGGTAGGGATTTTGTTTAATTGCATGGAGGATTTCATCATGAGCTAACATCACTTAGAGAACCACTGGAAAACCATCTGGGAGTACTGGACAGCTGTTTCGTCCTAGTTTGGGACTCTTCAGCAGTACGCGCATTCACGACATAGCGCGACCATTTCGCAATGTCTTCTTCTTAGATGAGTTACTGCCTCATGTTCAACAGCTGTCCAGTACTCCCAGATGGTTTTCCAGTGGTTCTCTAAGTGATGTCAGCTCATGATGAAATCCTCCATGCAATTAAAAAAATCCCTACCAAACCAATACTAGAAAATTAATCCGATGCTCACTAGTGACTGGCCCTATTCAGGAAGTTAACCTGGGGTCCTAGTGGGAAGCCGTGACCAGTAGGGTACAGCAGGTTGAAGATGAGGCAGTAACTCACTCATCGAAGAAGACATTGCGAAATGGTCGCGCTATGTCGTGAATTGGCAGAAGTTAGAATTCATCGAACTGGCCATTGGATCGGGTCCCAGTGGCTCAATGGTCTACGAGCTAGCTCGCCTTGTAACCAGAAGGTCCTGGGTTCGAACCCCTGCGGTGGGCGCGTACTGATGAAGAGTCCCAAACTAGGCTGACGAAACAGCTGGCTGTCCAGTACTCCCTGCAGGTTTTCCAGTGGTTCTCTAACTTATGTCAGTCAGCTCATGATGAAATCCTCTATGCAATATAAATATATGTGTCGATTTCCTTAATAAAGGATCTGTTGCGTGGCCCTTGTCTTTTGTTGTTGTTACAATACAACATTTCATTGAGTTTTTCACTTAGAACAGCACACCTGCGTATACATGTATATGAGACGATCAATACCCACTATAATCTACTTCTCTCTACCCTACTCTACTCTACCCTACCCTACTACTATTTGTTGATTAGGTGTGAGTGATATCCTCCTATTACTTCGTCTTCCCCCACCCCAAACCCTTCTCCTTCTCTCTCTCTCTCTCTCTATATATATATATATATATCAGCACACCAAGTGAACAATTGTTTACAGAAGTCACTACTGTATTTATTATTATTATTATTACACTATCATTACATTAACTTGTATAGCTTTATTCTAATAATATTTGTAATATTACCTAGATAGATGGCGAGGCGAGGCGAGAAAGTCGCCTATAACCAACCTAAGTCAATCTGAATAAATACATAGATAGTTGTTTGCAGATCAAGAAATATATATAGAGGGAGAGAGAGAGAGAAATGAGGGGTGGGGAGAGAGGGTTTTATGGGTAGACGAAATGAAATAGAGTAAGATATCACACACTTTCTCACATCGCCATCTATCTAGGTAATATTACAAATATTATTAGTTAATGTAATGATAGTGTAACAGTGGTAAATTCTAAGAAAAACATCAATACAATAGTGAGCGCTATAAAAAATTGTTTATTTAGTGTGCTGATGCACAGAATGAGAGAGAGAGAGAAGCAGAAGGGTTGGCGGGGGGGGGGGGCGGGGAAGACGAAGTACTAGGAGGATATCACTCACACCTAGTCAACACATAGTAGTAGGGTAGGGTAGGGTAGAGTAGAGTAGAAAGAAGTAGATTATAGTGGGTATCGATCGTCTCACATATATAATATATATACGCAGGTGTGCTGTCCTAAGTGAAAAACTGAACGAAATATTGTATGAATCATTATAAGCAGATGATGGAGAGAAGAGGAGGGGAGGGAGAAAGATGGGAAAGCAGTAAACAATGTTAAACGATCTAAGGCTTCCTTATCCTTCCTTATCCATCTTACCCCACCACCTTATAAATTTGTAAGTCAAGTCAGTCAAAATTCTCTCTATATGCTTCCGTTTTTTTCAAATTACCAAATGTAAGAGATGTGCATCGATCGATGAACCAATGAGATCCGCGGAAATGAGCCTATATAAATATATTCAGGATCAAACTAGTCTAGATTAGAAGCTTCTCATCTACGCAGCGAGTGAAATTCCAGTTAGACACACTTGTGTGCCTCTCATCTATCCAGCCATCCAGATAGCTAGCTGACTGACTGACTGGCTGGCTGGCTGTGAATGAAATACAATGAATACAGGCAAAGGGAATCGACTGAAGAAACGTCACGCGAATGCATTCATCGTATTCACGAGGATTGCTATAGGTGAATACAAGCGAAGGTATCCGGAGGACAAAATCATAGTGACTGATTTTACAAAGAAGTGTGCAGAACATTGGAAGGTGAGTGTCACTTTACTTCACTCGGTTGCTAACAGTAATTATAATAATAATAATGATAATCTCAGACGATGGGACGAGAGGACAGGAAAAAATTCAAAGCTTTGGCTGATATGGACAAGGCAAGATGTGATCATCAACATGGACATCGTAAGGAGGAGGAGGAGGGTAGGATTGTTGAAAGGCGTTGTGTAGGTCATTGTCATGTATCTCCTTTGAAACCACGAAAGCCCTTCTACTTCTTCAGTAATGACTTTCGTTCTGTATTGAAAGAGGCTAATCCAATGTGGAGTTCTGCGGAAGTGATATCGGCGCTGCGTAAAAATTGGAAGGTGTATGTAGATAAAGAGAAGTATAAAGTTCTCGCGCAGAAGGATAGAGAGCGTTATAAAGAGGTGAGTGAGTTACACGATTCGTGTGTGATTGTGTTTCCACCCACAGTCTGTCCAAGCCAAAATAATGGCTGATGCATTTTTTTTCTCTCTTCAGGAAATGAAAGCTTACCTCGAAGGGAGACGGGATGTTCCGACGAGTGAAGCGGTTTCCAAACCTGGTTCAAATTGCACTTGTGGTGATGCCTGCAAAACACAAATTCCGTGTTGCAGTACAACAACGACGTCGACTGCTGTTGTCGGTGGTAATGGTCCTATTAGTAATGATGAAAAGAAGTGTAGGATTGGAACGGAGCTAGGTCGGAAACCACTGGAGGAGTGTGAAAAGTGTAATGAAGTGGTGACTACAACGTCGATAACGACGAAGCAGAAACTTCCATTTCTTGTAGAATTCCTTATATAATTTTGTGTGTTGAATACATTCTGTTCTGTTCACTTTTTCTCTACCTCTTCTTGTTCTCATTTTCGTATGAATCGATAATCGTAAACTGGGGAATGTGAGTACTTGAACAATGATGCATTGACTTTTGCATTCACTGTATAGTGAGCCCATGTAAAATGTAAGATGATGTTGCAGAATTGGACTACACCGACCCCTAGATTAGAAATAGGAAGTGAAGTGGTAGAACGCGTTGACCGCTTCACTTACTTGGGAAGTACCATCAGCCAGTGCCAACGGGTTGATCTCCGACGAAATCTCAGCACGAATACAGAAGGCTAGTTTCGCATATGACAGTTTACGCTGTCTCTGGCGTAGACGTGATATCCGAGTATTGACCAAAAGGCGTGTGTACTGCTGAGCAGTCCGCTCCGTCCTCCTCTATGGCTAGTTGTGAGACCTGGCCAATGAGAGCGGAAGACATGAAAACATTAGCTGTCTTTGACCATAGGTGTCTGTGTTCTATCTCCCGCGTGAAGTGGCATAATAAGGTGAGCAATATAAAGGTTAGGCGTCGAGTGCTAGGTAAGCAGGGGAAATCAGTCGACGAGACTGTTAAATTACATCGACTGAGATGGTTAGGACATGTGCTACGTATGCCTAGTCATCGCCTTCCTCGACGACAGGTAATGTTAGCTGACATAGGGTCAGACTGGAAAATAGCTAGCGGCGGTCAAACGAAAACATGGCACCAGACAATGGAATCCACAACAGTTAGTCTAAGCCACATAGGAAGGTGTAAACTTCCTGACTGGTTGGGGTCGTCGGGACGGTAAAAACCAATGGTTGGAAACAATTGATGACATGGCTCAAAATCGTTCTCAATGTTTAGCGCAGATCCATCCACTCTTTGTGACTTATGATTCCCAATTAAACTGTTTTGTTCCCCGTTATTACTATACCTTTGTCTCACACCTCTGTTTACTGTCTATGTTATTATGCATTTCTCCTAATTTCTTCTCTTGCTTTGTGTGCTACATGGAGGGAGTGTGGCGACTTGAACTGCCGCACATTTGTGCAAAGTTCTGTGGCGAAAGCAGACGGACAGACAGAGTGAGAGCGGTATACGCATGCGGAATTCTGCTTCTTCTTCTTCTCCTTGATATTCTCATTCTCACTACTCTGAGTATTACTCGCATTATTCTTGATATAATAATAATCATTGTTAATATCATTACTACTTGTACTACCGATGTTATTATTGATCTGTGAATGTCAAGTGATTGTGATGTGAGTAGTCGGTTCACTGTTGTTATTCTACGTATTTAGTGTGAGTGTGTTTTCTCATGTGTTCTCAGTAGGCGGGTTTTATGTCACACACTGTGATTTTGTGTGATTTGTGTTTGATGAGTGTGATGAAGACGTTGTTGTGTGGGATATGTGGTGTGATGTCGGGTGAGAACTCATTTCGTATATTGTTTAGTTTCAAAGTAATTCGATGTGGTTCTTCTCTTAGACATGATCTACTGACATGTTCGTCTGGTGATGTTATTTTTGTTCAAGTGTGTTTGGAGTATGTAGGCATAAGCAGAGGCATAGCCATAGGCAGAGTCATAGGCGTAGGCGTGGGCGTAGTCGTTGGCCGTGGGCATAAATATTAAGGAATTGTATGCTTTAGCTTTTGTTTAAACATTGACTTTTGGAAATCCAATGAAATAGAGATGACGTGCAGCAAAGAGACACTTTTCGGTGATTTCACTCACATAGCTGTACAATCGCATTGATATATATGATTATTTGTGTGTGTGTAGATGAGGTGTGTCAAGTTTAGATAATTGATCAGGTAATAAAAGAATGATCTAATATAGAAACAAGGTTAATTCGACAGCAGCTAAAGTAAGATTGAATTAGTAAGTTAGATGATGTAATTTAACTGACGAAAATATTTCAGCATTCATTGGTCAGGATATCAAGAGCGGTAATTACGGGTGGAGACTAAGCCGAGGTGGGGTAGAGAAAAGTGTTATTTAAATTAGGACTAAAAGTGAGCAGATAATTTGTTTGGCGTAATATTTTTGAGTGGAAATTGAGCGTTGATGAAGTCAGCAACAGTGGTAATGAAGTGTATAAACTAAACAGTGTGGGGGTAGAGAAGATGAAGTTTGAAAATGTAAAATATTACAATTATAAAGACAAAATAATAGTAATGAGGGGATAGAGAGAAATAGAATTTACCTGTCGGGTATTAAGTCGGATTACGTCCGTTGCAGACTTAGTGATAGAACGAACTTCTTGTGAATGCAGAGTTCAGGGACTTATCAAGTGAATTGCCATTGCTTCTGCAGTTTGGAGACGTCTGACTCGTACACTTTTCGGAGGACTGCTTCGTATTTTGTAGACGAATTTGAAGTTTGTTTGGTGTGTCGCTTGGTGTTCGGAATCTATCAGTTTCTGTAGAATAGAGGTTCGGGGACATCGTCTGTCTCCTTTGTAAACCATGCTGGTAGGTTTTTGGTGATACGTTTGCATAGCGAACACTGGGTACGGCCAACACACCTGGCTCCACACGAGCATGTGAATTGGTAGATACACATTGATGAGACGAGCAGTGGTAGCTTATCTTTCACGTTCATACGAATCATATGTTTCGTGGAGAAAGTTAATCGTAGTTCAGCTGTGAAGAATGTTTTCTTGAGTGAACGGGACAGTCAATTTCTCAGTGTTTCCACAGATGAATCTCCACTGAACTGAAGGTTCATGTATAGGAGTTTTCTGGGGACGCTGTGCGTTAGCGACTTTTGTGGTCTAGGATTCATGGAGTTTGCTGTGAATCTTTCTGGATAACCATTCTCGACGAGAATACTCTTGAGATTGTCCAGTTCGTCTTCAATGGTGTCCGGGGTGGAGATTCTGTGAACTGTTTAGCTGAGTGAACGGATCAGGTTACGTTTAGTGTCTAGAGGTATCTGACTGTGAAAGTTAGTTAGCTGTCCGTCGCATGTCGACGTTCTGTAGATAAATCTTTTCAGTTTTCCATCCTGTTCTCGTCTTGTTAGTTGAACGTGAAGAAAGGATATTTTGAAGTAAGACGCTTTCTCTAACGTGAGCTGAGTCGCGGTGTGACAGTTGTTAAGGGAATTTAAATCGTCGTCTAGATTTCCTTCATTGTTGACGCTAATGAAAGTGTTGTCGACATATCGCTTGTAGAATTCCGATGGTTTGTGGCTATTTTGCTTATGTTTGACAAAGTCGTGTGAGTTTGTTGATGAACTTCCGAGTATTATTGTTAGCATTAGTAGTGCTAGAAGGTGGAGTGGGATGACCGTATGTGTATCATTGATAGAATAAGAATAGAACTTGTGAACTGTCTGCTAGTAGGAAGAGAGGAGTATAATTCCATTCGATTGTTGGTGAAATTTACTTTGATAAATTCTCATAGAGTTTGTGATAAAAATGTGTTTGTTATATTCACTGGTGACCAGGTTTCGAGCACAATTTTACAGTGCTGCCTACAGTAGTCATATCAAGGCACCACTTCTCACACAACTTTCTGACTTCCTCTATATAATTCCATGATTATTTCGATTCGTCGGTTGACTTGACGATTGCTACTTGTAGCGGTATTTTCGATTTCCATATTTCCGGTCTGATTGAGTGATGAGTCATTGCCTCCTATTGCACATGTTCCATATGTAGACTCGATGAACGAGGATCGAGTGATCAACCTCTCACTCTGTCTCTCTCTTCGCCTTCACATCTAAGTGTATTTACTTACTTCTTAGAATTTCAACCTTTTCCTTCCCAGTCTATTTTCTTAATAATAATAATAATAATAATAATAATAATATACTTTATTCCAAAACAGTACTTGTGATACAGAATGGAATTTTCAGCATTAATCATAATATTGCATCTAATTTCCTCAAATTATAAATAAAATTAATCGCACAGAAAATTTTCCACATTTTGCAATAGGGTTATTATAAAGAAAAATAGAAAACATGGAGCATTTAAATGGAAATAATAGTAATGATAGCAGCTAAGGTAATGATAATAATACAAGTGGAAATTGCCGTGGGCTTCTTTCACACAGTATTGTCGATGCGGTTTACAAATCCTTGCTTGATTAAAAATATTGAATATGATGTTCTGTTTACATGATATGGTGAGGGAAAAAACAAAGATTACAGCAGTCGTAGAGATAAGTCGGTGTTTGCAGTTATGAAAGTGAAAACAAAGAATCAACAGGACCATATATATAATAGAAATAATAAAAGTGAAACTTGAAGGTATATAAGGATGGATGGAGGAGATTGTTTATTTACTAGATGAAAAAAGGTTAGTCAATTCTTGCCTGACGCTATTTGCATCACATAAAATACGTGCCAAGTATGGTATCATAGAATTTTTATACTTATACGTGCGAGCATACAGTTTTCTGAAGTTACTTCTTGTTCTACCTGAGGAGACGCAGCAAGGTGAAAGCTGAGGGTGAAGTGGATGCTCCAAGTCAGACAAAATCCCTTTAGCAAATTTACTGCACGAAGTCAAGTGCCTATCGACAACGACGTCAACTATGTAGTCCACTGGGACACCACTCATCCTACTGACAGTCTTCAGCATTCTAAGAATTGTGACATAGTCCTTTTTAAGCAAACCAGGAAAGAATAAGGGGTGAACAATAAAGAAGAATAGGTAGGATGCAAGAGTTTATGAACTGTAAGAGGAGGGGTTGAGTTGTACCCGAGTGCCTTAACTTCCTAATGTAAAATGTCAGGTGGAATATTTTACTGGAGATCGCTGAGACATGGGAAGACCAGGAGAGATCAGAAGAGAGAATAAGTTCAAGATACTTAATTTCTGATTTAATTCCTCTGTCATTGTCATCAATCTTACAACTGTCATGAGAATCGACGGCGTCTTTTAACTGTCGTTTACATCTTAAGCTGAAATTAACAGTTTGACATTTAGAAGGATTCAGCTTAAGACCGTTAGACTCAGACCATTTACTGACTCCCGACAGA